CTGATCTAGCGACCCTTTTGAGTCTAGTGAGTGGCACAGTATATCCATTTCTGGCTCTTGTGCCGATAAACTACAAAAAACTAACCAACCATCAAAATCTCTACTATCTATAGACATAATATTTTAATTTCATTTTTATAAAGATTATAAAAATGAAAATTAAGCGAAATGGTTACAGAACAAATTATTATAAAAGCTCTTCAGCATAGCTCGTAGCTATTTCCTGTTGATTTTGAATGCTTTTTTTTAAATATATTTATTCGTGTTTTTTTATTCTTCATATTTCTTACCAATAAAATCATAATGCAATTTTTTTTAAAAACGAATTTATTAAAGTAAGTAAACCTAATAACGTATATGCTAATGTTTAAGATGATTGCAGAAAGAAAGATTAAAAACATATTTTATAGTTCAGTTGTCGTAACTTTGAAAAACAATTAGTTATACGCTTGCATTGAAATAAAAAGTTAGTCGTTACATTTATAGAAATGAGATATATTTGCATTCGTTCTTTATAAAATTAAGTTAAAATTAATTAAATGATTTATTTAAATAGGGATCGAGAATGATTAAAAATGACTAAAGAATAAAGAAAATTTTAAAGCTAGGAATGTAACACCTATAATGGCATACCTATAATGTTTTTTTTGCCTTTTGTGGGATATTCGCGTGTAATGAATAACTGTGAAGAAAGTATCATTGAATCGATTGAGCATATTTTTCAGTGTTTTGCGTTTTGTTTACCTCACTATTTGACTGGGAAATATTAAACATTACTTGCAGTTTAACATTTTGGTTTTACGAGAGCAAATTCATCACGCAAATCAGAAAATGACAATGTGTAAATAATTTTCAAGTTTTACTTCGTAAAATAATTTTAATCGTCTTAATTGTTTGAAACGCATGCATGGTGACTTTATTAACTATTAATAACTTTCGGATGAAAGGAAGTTGTTGCGTGCAATTTCGAGTGTACCTGTCTTATTATTTTTTTTACCTATAATTCATTCGAATTGATTGATTTTTAAAGAAAAAATACAAACCACGAAAAAGAAATTATAACACTCTATTGAACTTCTCTTCTAATAATTAAAATGTCACATTCTAAGTTCCACTCTCAACTACACTGGTTATCATAAATTAANGGACAACATATGCAAATTTTGCACGGTTTGGCTTACTTTTGAAAGAGTTATCGCTATTTTTGTGATTTTTCCTTAATTTATGATAACCAGTGTATTCAAAACATTTATTTTGAATATGTTAATTAATAAGTGTTGACTTAATTTAGTTACGAAATGAAACAAAAACGACCAAAAATTACAGGTTTTACGAAGCAAAATTAATTTTTCAAATGGCTCTAAAATTTCAACGAAAAAAAAAATTATGACTTTTTACTTTAATATCAGAAAAAGTACCCTTCAAATCCAAAATGCTATCAAACATTTTATAAAAAGATTTTCGGGGAAGTTATATGTGCTTAAAAAGGACTGGTTTTGATAGTGTGCAAATATGAGAAGATAATATTTTAAATTGCTCTTGATGCATTATCTGAATTTTAAAAATCCCTAAGTTAAGTTCGAATGCAAGCGTCTTGTTAAATACTTTTCAGTCAATGAGGAATGCTAGTGAAGTACTGTCTCATTTCAATCGAGGAATGTTTGAGCCGTTTCGAAAGTAACTTGTACAGCCATTTCTGGCTCTTGTGCCAATCACTTTAAACAACCAATTAAAAACATATTATTCTTGAAAGGAAGAAAAAGGAGACGCAGCAGGTTAAATATCATTGGTTATGTTGCCATCAATATTTTCTTTCATGGAAATGAATTTTCAAAAATCTTAATTTGTTAGATTTTGAATAACGGTGAATAGATGTGTCATGATTCTCGAAATAAAATTTAGTTCAAAAAATACATATTTTAACTGACTAGAAATTGTTTTTTTTCTTCTTTCCTTTGTAGGAAATCAATTGAACCCATGACTAAACTCGTGGAAGTCTGTCTAATACGTATAGTTTCATTAAAAAAATTGTAAGTTTTCGAAATTTCTTTTTTTGCTGTTACACTTAAATAAATTTTGATTCTTATATATATTTTAAGTTTAAATCTGTTGAAGGTATTTAACCCCTGCTCGCTTTGCTCAACAACCCTCACAATTAATTTGTAGCCACCTTTATTCTCGAGGTAAAACAAATTGTTTCTAAACTAAACTCAGTGGTGCGACAGCCCATAGAGGGCCATGACCTACTGTTTCCATTTCAGTTTTCTTGACCTTTGGAGCAACGACTTTTCTCGTTGGGTGGTCAGCCCAACGCGGAACCCACAGCGTTTAGTTTCTAAGAATGCTTGGTACTCATTTTATCGGCCCACTGAAGGGTAAATCAACCTTGCCCGGCCCGAGAATCGAACCAAGGACCTGTGGTACGACAGCGCTACCACTCAGCCTCTGTGTTTCTACAGTAACTAAAATTATATCAATTAAAGGATATTGAATTTTTTTTTTATTGTATTCACTTTTTCTATGAACCTTCGAATGTTTACTGATACAAACGAATCTACCTCTTTCCAAGAATTCAATTCCAAATTTTATTAGAATAAAGGTTTAACAAAATATAACAAAGGAAAAGAGAACTTTGTTACTCTATTGTAATATACATTTTTAGAAAGCTTGTCTCAGCAGAATCGGCCGCACTTGACTCACCAGTCTTCATCTGTTGTTTGGAGAGGCTCCTCCCAAATGCGACACTTATTGTAACGTTTTACTTACGCTTCATCACATTTTAACTATTTGCCCCTGTTTTAACCAACATCGTATTACCTTTTGAAGTTATACTTCTTATGCGACTTCCAACAAGGTTGCGTTAAACGTTTAATGCTACTTTTTTATTGGCCGGGAAATCACGTGGTAGGATCCAGTTTTCCCTCATTCATTTCCATATTGTTTTGGTTCTCACTAGCATAAAAATAATAAAAGTATTGTTTCTCTATAAATATTTTAGTTTGATTTGATACACATATAATTTAATAGGGTAGTATTTTTTATTTTCATATTTAGTGGATAACAATTGTAAAAAATGAGTGAAAACAATCCCACGGACAATGCGACGGATTTAAGGTTATGTCAAGGTACGTCTCTTGTGAATATCAATTGAGTGTTAGGTTTTCTCTTCTGAAATTACATTATTACGCATTCACATACATTATTAGTACAAATTCATTCTCCATGGCGAGACGATGAGGCAGCCACAAGCACTTCCACTGGTTCAAAAGGTCCACGAGGGAAAAATGCACAATATTACCGTGATTACAGAGCACGGAAGCGAGCGGAGCAGGAAAAAGAGTCGTTGAATAGAACTAGTGATCCTTCTACGACTGCTGATTCTTCTACAATTAACATTGCAGGTTACGAAGTTTAACTTCTTACGCGCGGAGGGACTCCACGCACTATTTCTTTAATAGCACTATTTTATGTATGAAGGATATGTTCGGTTAAATCCATCATCCTAACACATTCGCAATTCTGCGAGCTATTGGTATTTTATATTGTATATAGCTGGTTTTATCTGATTTTATTCACTCTTATTTATTATCCATGCACCGTTTGACCCATTTCATGTATTTTATATAAATACGCCTTTTATTGGAGTTTTTTGACTTTTAAATATATTCGTCTCGTTAATGACGGTTTAATTACATTTATGTATTTTACGAAAATAAAATTGTAATAAGCATTTTAAGCTGTGTACTGTTTGGCGCAGCATATCCTCTTTTGCATCTTGCGCCATTAAACACTGCATTCAATCACTCAGAAAGCTTGTCTAGAAAGTAATCTACATATTAGAGGTCGCAAATGGTCATTCCACGAAAAGTGTGAACAAAGTATAAATAAAAAGTATCTTTTTTTTTCTGATACTTAATCATATAACATTAATCAGTTAAAGGTTCAAATTAACTGAATATCAAGTAGGTTTTTGAGAAATTAATTATAAAGGTGCACTAACTGAAACATGGCGCTTTTACTGCGCCAAAAGGGTGGATCCTAGAATAGCCTACTCCCGTGGCAATTTTTTTAAATCTCGCGAAGCAAGTTTTTGAAATTTGACAATCTAGGTTTCCGGAAGATGTTTCGGGAAATTTTAATAAATAAATTGCTTAAATAAATAACTTATAATTGACTTTTTAATTGCTTAAATAAATTCTTAATAATGTTTGAATAAAAAAAAAATTTCTTCAAATAATTGTCAACTTGGCGAAATTTCAAAAAGTCGCCAAGAGGAGGGCTATTCTGCGATTCTACTCTCCAAACATAAATAATGCTTCAAGATATTTTTGACGCAAAACATATTCTCGCCGGCGTACTACATACTAGTTCAACTGATAATTAAATACACCACACACAAATTATTTTCTTTACGAAGGAAATAAAATTTATTCATAAAATTTGTCTTGGAAAAAAATATTGCAGTTTTGTAACATTCTTCATTCATTTCTTTGCTTCCGCCTTGGCTTTTGCAGAAGTTTTTACAGACTCCATTTCCTAATGCAAACAAAGAATAGAATGCAATTAGTAGAAGAAAATACAGAACGTTTAACTCGTATTTATAATTAAAAAAATTAAATTTGGATCACTTGTTGTGAAATAAGGATAAACGAGAATAAAACATATAGATAAAACGTAAAGTTGCCATCGGAAAATGGAAAAATAAGGATGAGAAACAAAACTAGAAAAACCACAATAGCCGAGAGAGAAAAAATATGAAAAACAAAAACACATACTTGTTATAACAGTCATAAAAATCTAGGTGGTAATAGATATTTTCGAAAACAATTTATAATGAAATGATTATCTTACAAGAATTTGTTCTTTTCTGTCTTGATATTTTAAATTTTCAGCCCTGTTCATGCTACACATTTTTATTGTAAATCAGTAGAGGGATTCATTATAAGTGCTTAAATGTAAATTGCTGTATATTTTTAAAAAAAATTTATAATGTTGAATAAATCTAAAGTAGCACAAAGTAGTTTTTTTTTTCCTAAGAAAAGATATGTGTTTGTAATATTTTATATTAGAGAGTAAATATGTGTATATAATATTCATAAATAATACTATTTCACAATTTTAGTATGTATTACCGTGTCCTTAAAATTTGCATCAATGCAGCTTCAGGTTTTGCCTTGTTAAATTATTCAATGCAATTAAATATTTATTCGATTTCAATAATTTCAGTTACTGTATTGAAATATAAAAACATACAAAACTTTTTCAACTAGTTATTTTTTTATATAATGTATTTAATAGAAATACTTTATCCTTTTAGTAGTCTTTTTAAACTTATCAAATGATTAACTCTGTACTAGTTGATAGTCTCTGAGATTATTAATTTAATTATTGATTCATTATTTATTGCCAGTACTAGTATAAAATTATTTAATTTTATTTACAATTCAAAATACCTTAAACATTAAAATTTCCTTTCAGTCAAAAAATTAAATTTTGTGTATTAGTTGTTCTTCTACGAAATATCTAATTACATTCAAGCAACTAATTTTCCATTGCCTAATCAACAAACAACCTCTGCAATAAGCCCTCTGTTTCTATGACATTCGAAATTTGGTAACAGATTCTGAAACACAGCTCAGACAACTAAGCTGGAACACTGAACTTGACAATAACTTGCGTGAAATTAAATCTGGATTCAAACATTTAACTAGAATAGAAAATCCCAAGTTATCATCAATAGACTACGTATAGGACATAACCTGTTTAATACCACACAAATATTTCATTTTAAATGAAGCACTCCCACAATGCAGTCTTTGCCGAGAGTATTTTATGGTGAAGCAAGTTTGGATTTATTTTATTATATTGTTTCCATTAAATCCTATATTCAATTCTTACGGTGAAAAATTTTTTGACCCAGTGTTTGAAATTTAAATTTAAAAGACGACAGTAATTTAATTGTGACTTTAGCAATTTTACTTGGAGACACACCTCATCTTAACTTGGATATCTTACCTCAAATACATCGGATTTTAAAATTCGAATTAGTTCAAATTTTAACCAATTTTTACCTAGTTATATTGATTTTAGCAAAATTACTTTAGTTTCCATTTTGTTGTTTTGATTGTTACCAAGTTTCTTCAAATTCAACCTTGAGTTTTAGGCGCGGTATAGCAAAACCATGGCTCTTGCTTCAAAAATTTACATCACTCATCAAATTAAACTCAATCTTGCTTTTGGAATTTAACCAAGTTTTTATATAAGTTTTAACAAAGTTATATGAACTTTTAACCTAGTTTTAGGAGCGGTATCGACAAATCATGACTCTTGCTCCAAAAATTTACATAACTCACTCAAGAAATTAATTAACTACGTTAAATTTATATATTAGTCAAAGGGATGATTTTTTTTTCGTGATGGAAAAAGTATACAAAATTGTGTGTGCAAAAAACACTTTTTTTAAAGTTCTTTTTAATACTCAGAATAAGTTAATTCATTATAGGATCAGGAAAAAATAAGATTTAAATAAAATATATAACGTGAACTGTTTCAGTAATAGGTAGAAGCCCAGAAGTAGGTCGGGGGTAGGAAACGTTTCATATTTTTATTTCTCATTGTTATTGTATTTTCGTCGAAAAATATCTTCTACCGCATCCCAATTAAACTTTATGAATTTGAGTAAAAACTAGCGCTTTCTACTCCAAAACATAATTATTTAGGCATCCCAGAGGACGAAAAAATTGTCCCACAAGCTTAATAAGAATCATTAAAGTTATTTTACCAATCAAATAATTTCTTCAGATGAGTGTACGTAAAATTCTTGTCACTTCTTGAAAGAAAAAAAGAAAACTATTATTTTCATGAATACTTTGTTGAAAAAATTATGTGTATACATGCGCTTAAAATAAGTGTTGTATTCCAGGGCTTAAATAGCTTTATTAGTCATAACTGAATTTGTTATGAGTTGAGAAAAAGGATTAAATAGAACGATTCTTAACTGAACCCTAATTATGTTATTTTATAATCGTCGTAGAACAGCTGACTCAATTTCGGGATTACGACTACTAAAGTTCAATTCCGTAGCCTAGTAGTTTTGAACCCAATCCAGAAGACAAGGGAACTCCTGGATCAAGTTTTGGGAGAAATTTGCCTTCGCATAGGACTTCTTGATGGAACTAACCCGCATTTGCGTTACATGAAGAAGAAAAACACGAAAACCTCCCACGATTAGCTTGATGGCAAGAGCTTGATAGCTTGATGGCTTGATGACCCATAATCCATCTACCACTGAGGATATTATGCGTCAGCATTGCGGTCGGTACGAGCCGGATGCGGAATTCGAATCCAATAGCCATCGATGGGATTCGAACCCGGTTCACTTCATTGAAGTCGCCCTATCCCATGAGCCACCACAGCTCTAATATATTCTATCTTTGACGGTTATGTTCTGAGTTGATAGTTTGAAGTATAGTTTTCTATATTCTATGTATTCCAGCTTAATCGAATGATACATTTTGATAGCATTAATCGTAGGTTAAGGGTTTTATATACAACTAGTGGGCTGCGCCCCTGATCGCTAACGCTCGCCAATCCCCGAAAATTGCTACGCAATCTTATATGGTTTGCTGTGCTCGCTACTAGCTTAGGTACATTGCAAATGCACAAAATTCTAAGAATTCAAAACAATCATTCAAATCCATATAACAACTTTTTTTAAGAAAAAAAAAATTGTATTATAGGAAAACGTTTCTCTATATAACATAAAATCATAATGGTCTGACACCGTTTTCCATTGTTGTAAGCGCATTTCTATTGGCCGGAAAATCACGTGGTAGGATCCAGCTTTACCCCGTTCATTTTCATATTATTTAGGTTGTCATCAGCAGATCACACTTGGTGAGAATGCTCTCTCTGGTTATTTCAGTTTCCGTTTTTAAAAACGCTATTTGTTGAGCCACCTCAGTTAGTTTTGGCATGTGACTTTTTTAGCGGCAATCATTGGTCGATTTTCTAGCGTTGCCATTCGAGGAGTTGTAATGAGGCTTTTTTTTTGTCGCCATGTAAGAGAAATATATATATATATAATTTATTGTCTTATAAATTATTAAAAAAAATTTCTATGGATAACTTAATACATACTTTGAAATCGTTGGAAAAAAAGTCTATATACGATCTTAGAACCTAAGGAAATATCTGTTAAAAAAAATCAAATTCTGATCAGCGAATCACATTTTGGATACCCTCTTCGTATGCTGCACTCATCTCATTCAATTAAACGGAAAAAAAATACATTTGATATCTGGATACAACTATCAGCCGCGTAAACAGGTTCTAATCAAATATGGTACTTTTTCGTCAAAAAACTTGGATAACTTCTCAACTCATAACAAAATCACTTTTTTCAAAAAAATTATTAGCACTCGGCAATACCACACTAAATGGTTCTTATACACAGTTATTTTTCATATTTGATGCCTTTTTTATGACATCACTACGTAAACACTAAAGATATTATTTGATCGGAAAAAAAATTCTGCATACGGGACATCTTTCTTATTCAACTAAAATAACATTTTAAGAAAATAATTATGTTTCCACCGGGAATTAAAAGTGTTATTTTAGTGGAATTCCCAAAATAAAGAGCAAAACAGTTATAGGAGAGATTTTCTTACGTTTTTTTTTTTTAATTTCACCATTTTTAATGAACACACAAAAAAACTTTCTACTTTAAAAGAATAACAAATTAAAAAAAAGACAGATAAGTGTTTTACAAACCAAATTTATGTAGAGTTATTTGTCGTTGAACAGCTGACCCATTTTTTGTGTTTACGACTACTAATGTTCAACTCCGCAGCCTTGTAATTTCGGACCAATCCAGAAGACAAGGAAACTCCTGGATCAGTATCCCCAGAGGTATTGATTTGTTATGAGAGCATGAAGGACTTCGCCACTCGACAGATTTAAAGTGCACCATTTACTACACGGGGAGCCTTCGGCCGGCGGGGATCGAACCAACGAACTCTTGGACATGGGGCCAGTGCCCTACCAACCAGGCCTGTTATGTAGAGTTGGTCTAGTTTTTAAAATAAAAATATTTGTTATGTAAACTCAGACGAAGCTCATGGCACTGTATAACCATTTCTATTTCTAGCGCCACAAACTACAAAATAATTAACTATTAACCGTTACACTAAAAAGACCACCTGAATAAAAGGAGGAGCAAATTAACAAAAACGTTAAATGATACTAAACCTTTCTAGCCCAATCAGCCCAATTTGCAGCAGCCCTTTCCATTTGCTGTAAATAGAGAGAAAAAACTTCTCTTAATACTATGCATAATATCCAGTAGGGTAAAATGGTCCTACATAAAATAAAACTGTATCAACTATTAATGGAATGAAAAGAATTTACAGAGAGCACACACACTCCCTGCTCGCTGCGGTTGCCAACCCCAGGGCTGCCAACTTTCTACGCTTCTTTGTAAAAATATATTCGAGTAGTAGCTTTGTTTATGTTTTAATGCATTATCATGCATTCATTTAAACATATTTTCCACACCACTGCACACAAAAGATTCAAAAGTTCACAAGCAAACGACACTTTTCTGCTTATTTTTCGTGGTGTGTCTTTTAGAATGTTGGCAAAATTCTGAAAGCTTTCTTTCTCAAACGTCTACCACTCTTTAAAATATTTTACAAAAAGCGTAATTGTTGGCAGGCCTGCAACTCTCAGAAANTTTATAATAACCTGAAGTGTAAAATGACACACCTTAGGTTGTTGAATAAATACTTCCACAAGTGTAAAAAAATATACTTCAGGCTGAAACATATATACCTCTGGAGGTATATTTGAGGTTGATTTTGAGATATTCATTTGCACCCTTTTCAATCTTCACGACGTATTTAAATAACAACCTCCTTTATACCTTTAAAATATACCTCGTTTATACCTCATTTATACATCGATTTTTTCATAAGGGTTTGTAGGTTAATTCTCTTTTTAAAATGATATGAAATTGAGATATTTAAAGATATGAAACGTATGCATATGGGAAACCTTCAACTTTCACGGTCCGTAAAAGCTAATAGCTTCATCGCTGAAGCCATTGCCATTTTATTGGCATTGCGACTTATTTCAGCAGGTTCGACGTTGAAATACTGCATTTACTCGAACAGTATTAGTAATTTGCGTCAACTGGAACATTTTGGTAGTGGAATTCATCCCATTCTGTGCTTTATACAGCATTTATTATTTAATCTCTATGAGAATGATTTCGATATTTTGTTCTGCTGGGCTACAAGCCATGTAGCAATGTCGGGTAATGATTTAGCTGGCGCAGCTGCACGATCTGGCCCTATCTCCGTCTGTACCTTACTCAGACACGAAATCACATATTCGACATTTTATAAGAGCATTATGACAACAGCAATGGGACTCCCAGATCAACAATAAATTAAACTCTGTCAAACTCGATTTGAACCTTTTAACTGCGGCGCGTCTCCGCAGTGCAAATGTTAAACTTACTCGGCTCTGAATCGGCCATTACTGATCCATCTTCATTTTTTATTCGAGGAACCTCCTCCTTAATGCAACACTTGTAATGTTTTACTTTCGATTCACCATATTTTAGTCATTTGCCCATGTTTCAACAGACATCGTCTTACCGTTTTTTGGTAGTTCTATTTTATTTATGGGAGATTTGTTAGGGGAGTCTCAGAATCCTGACATTTTTGCATTTTTACGTGCTATTGGCATTTTAAATTGCATATAAGTATTATTCTATTCATGATTTTACTCACTTTTTACAATTTTACTTGTTTTGCAAAATTTTACTGAGTTTTAACTTTGACATGATTTTATTTCATTATTACCGTTGATTGTTTCTATATCATTTTATCCAATGTTTAATGTATTTAATGAAAAGTAAATAAGTATGCACATTATTTCTTGACATGTATAAACATATTGTTTTGGTACAGCAGGTCCTCATTTGGAATCTTGTGCCATTAAACTCTACATTCAGTCAACCAAAAATTAACGGAAGGAATTATCCAACGAAGGGAATTATAATTGCAGGGAATCAAAATCACAGAAAATTTGCCGATTGTTAGCAAGAGAACAGCTTGATGATAGAAAACATTCTGAGTTTCTTCAAGGAAAAGCAAAAAATCATCATGCATTCGATACGCTTCTACTCGAATTATTTCTCCAGCAATTATAATCCACCCAGGGCTCGATCTATTTTAGCATCTATTCAAGATCCCACGTCAACGAAGGCTGATGAAATTGCCGATAAAAGTTTGGATATTTCACTTCTACAGCAGTGTCATCTGTTCTAAAAGTTCTTCAACCGCAAAATCAGAACTGTTACAAGGCGTCCTTATTTCCTTAAGACACTCTAGAAGTCGTTCTAGATCTAGAATTCATTATCGGCTAAAACGCCCAAGCGTTAAAGGCGATATATGCTAGTATCATAAAAAGTTTAGTTAAAAAGTGTAGAAACACTATAAAATCTGTGGTACATAACTGTCTTATTTAAGCATACAAATGCTCCCACAAGCACATTTGTCTTACTTGACATCTAATGGTATAGTATCACCTGATAATTAAGATTTTACATAGAATCTTATAATGCGTTTAATACTATAGCCGGAAACTGTAAGTATAGTGATGTTGTTGAACTGTTAATAAAGCTGTAGGTGGAAGAAGCGTAAAATATTACATAGGCATAAAAATGATCTTTTAATTTAATATCTAATTCTAACAATCGCATATGCTACAGATTTATTAAGAAAAAAATGAGCACATAAAAAAACTGTGACAAGTGTTTAAAAAAACAGTGGAAAAAAATAAGCACACAATTAGCATTTTAAAAATTGGATCACGACCATTCTGCAATGTATATTCAATTAAAGAGATGATAAATCTTCATCGTATTAATACGAAATGGTGTTGTTCATTCACGTCGCACTAGAGCTGCACAATGGGCTATTGGCGACGGTCTGGGAAACATCCCTGAAGATGATCCGAAGACATGCCATCACAATTTTGATCCTCTGCAGAGGGAATGGCACCCCCGCTTCGGTAGCCTGACGACCTGCGCGCGAAGTCGAGCACTTGACGGTAGTACAGTTAAACGAGGACCAATACCGCACTCCCTCGGTCCCTACGCAGGTTGAACCAAGTGGTCACTCACCCGCACACTGACCGTAGCCAGTGATGCTTCACTTCGATGATTTGCTGGGAACCGTGTCTTAACGATCAGTTCACTGCTGGACTAATACGAAATGTTTTACTGTAGTTACCATGGCAGCAAAATAACTTCTGACCCTTATTCATGTATCTTGGCTCGATAAGGGTTTAAAGGACCGTTATTTTTCCGATATTGGCCCTACATAGAATTTTCTGATTCAACAGATATTTTACAGACAATATCGGTCCTACATAGAATTGTCAGATGCACCCGATAATTTATATGTATTATTTAACCTATATAGGTTCAATGTTGGCAAATGTAGACCATATAGGCCATTCTTGGACCAATATTACAAAATATTGATATCCCAATATTGGTTCCCCGGTGCATGTTCTTATAAGAGGATCCATATTGAGCACTACTGGGGCCAAGGTAAAACTGTTGCTAGGGTAAACTGTTGGCAGTAACGGTTCTAAAACAATTTCTCATCGCTTTATGCTTTAAATTGTTTTAAATTTCTTTTTTATTAAATAACCTATGCTAAAATTATTTTTCTGAGAAGATATTAAACTGGAAAATTAAAGCTGTGTGTGCGTTTCCTTTTAGGAGCATTACTACTAGTTTTGTCGGGACTTACCCTTCCATTGAGTTGGATCAGTTACGAACAGTACTAAAATTAATTAAATCTTATTAATATTCTTAGGTTAATGAGTAAAAATTAACATTTCATTACATAACATTAATTTATTCTATTTTAAATGTAAATCTATAGACTCCTTTCGAAGTATACATACCATACAGATCCGAAACACGGTTTTTACCATATTGCTATATGAATGTATTAAAAAATTGGCGAATTTTTAAAGATACTGGACTACAATCAACCGGTAATTCAACAATCGACAGATAATAAATTTTAGACTAAATATGGCTGGTATTTGTAAATTTCCTTTTAAAAGAGCGTTAGTTTAATCTGTTTGGGGTGCTTGAGGTTTCTGCTTCTTAGTCATTTATAAATGAATAAATTATAAATTATTTAACAAGTTAGAAATAAGAGTGAAAAAAAAGCACTACCATAAGACGTTCATTCTTTTCCATGTCTTTTACGAAAAATCCACCATTGGTACCACCTGCAATCAAATAAAAAAATTGCGAAAAAATTACACCACGTATTGTTAAAGAAATGAAATTGCACCACGTATATCTAAATTATTATAGACAAAACAGTTAATGTGTTACAGTTGAAACATAGTTTTTGCATGAAGTGTTTTAATATTTTAGCCAACACATTAGTGTAATTCAGTAAACGAAATCGGACGAATAGGTAATTGAATCTTACATAATCTACTTTTTAAACATTTGATAGCTCAGAAACTATTCAACAAATTTCGGACTCCAAACTTTTGGCATTTTATATTACAAATCGCAGTACCCTCCTTCACCCTTATAGGTTTGAAAATCTGAATCCGTTCAACAACAAAAAAGTATGTTTAATCAAAAGAAAATATGTCTGATTTCGTAACCTTAATATTGTCTGTACTAATTAATTAGCATGTTTTAAGTCAGGCACGATTAGATAGGCGTAAAAATCCGGTCATTTAATCAAAATGTATTCTAGGTAATCCGTTATTTTTTTGCACTGTACAAACTTTGTAAGGAATACTTTGTTATAAAATACACACATTTCATTCTTAATAATATTTCTCTGCCCATTATTTTTGATCACTGCATGCTAACTTTCAATCGGTTTTATTTGTACTACTTTTAACCGCCATCGTGTCAAGAGCTCTCCAACATATTTATTTTTATGACAGAAGAAAATTATCAGCATTTATTTCCTTTGCTACTTCAAACTGAGGCAAATTTATCCTAATCTAGACTACTTCAAAACAATACATATTGATCGTATAACCCAGGTTATAATCAATAGACTGGGCATTGGTCTTTCCCGTTTTACCTATAAACATTCACTGAAAGCCGAACATCTACTCAGTTGTTCTCTGTATTGTACCGACAATACTATTACACATATTTTAACTGACTGTAAACGATTCAAACATTTGAGGAACAAAATTTTTGGTTGCTTTTATCCTGATCTTTTATTCGTACTTGGTGACCCTATCTTATCCAGTTTATTAAAACAATAGGACTGTATCAATTACTCTAAAAAATAATAAATCAAACAATTAAACCTAGTGTCTGTCGCAACATAGCCATTCCTTGCTCTTGTGCCAATAAACTCCACCCAACCAACCTTTGCTACCTTTTATCCATTAAAGCGTGTTTTTCTAAAAGATAATGAAATTGATGTCTCACTTGACTTGATAGTTCGAGAAGAAAAATTAAAATAATTATTCTTTAACCCTTAACAGCCATTTTTTTGAAGAACTGTATATGACTTTCAACATGGCGAACATTCAAATTAAACTCAGTGATACAAGTTATTCTTAATAGTTGTTGACGCATGCCATTAAAGCAGAGGGGGTGCGATTAGTCTTGTTTTCCAGTGGCGCCATCTATGGCCAAGAATTAGACTTCCGCTACACCCGTTTATAAGGCGGACCCATTCATACATTCATCCACAGATCGTAATTTTGACCTGAATCAGAGAACGATCAATCTCCAATCCAGTACCCCCAGAGGTAGTGATTTGTTATGTTAACATGGAGGACTTTGTGACTCGACATTCTTAATAGTAATTTCAATTATTGATTATTTAGTTTCTTTCCCCAACCCGTACCAAGAACAAGTTTTCAGAAAGTAACGAAAATAATATTCAGAAAAATTTGAATAACGCGAAACATTCCATAACAGGGCAGTTTGTCTGAAATAACAAATTATTGCCAACTAGAAACAAAAAAGATTTTTACGCTATTTTTTACTTTTTGATTCGTAAAAGAATCTGCATTCTTGTTTGAAACTTGTAGCAACTCATAGAAGAGTGAAAGCCTCACCTCAGATAACCTTTTCAGTCCGTAGGAATCATAACTACGCAGAGAGATGTCAGAACGAGAGGACTACTATGGATCGTATCTCTTAATTATTATAGTACCTCAGAGATGCCAGCTAGGCTTATATAATTCGCCATTTTATAAAAGTTTAGTCATGTAAAACCCTTTAAAAAGTAAGCAAAAAATTAGCGAAATATCTGCAAAGTTTAGTTTGTAGTTATTTACCGTTTTTTATATTATTTTGGCTCGTCCGGAGCAGTTGGCATCTCTGA